TTACTGTACTTTTCTAGATTATTTTTTTCTAAATATTTTGAAATTAGGAGGTATGAGACCACCAGTCTCAACCCTGCTTTGACTATTCAAGGTCGTTTGTGGGTCCATGTGAATTTTTAGATTATTTTTTCTATTTCTGTAAAAACTGACATTAGGATTTTGATAGAATTTTATTAGAACTTAAGATTGTTTGGGGTAGCATGACCATTTTAATAGTATTAATTCTTCTCAATCACAGAACAAGATGTCTTTCTACTTGTTATTGTCTGTTTTCATTTCATTCATCAGTACTTTAGAGTTTTCAATATATAAATCTTTCACCTTTCATTAAGTTTATTTCTACATATTTATTCATTTGATGCTATTGTAAATAGGATTTTTTTCTTAACTTTATTTTTATAAAATTTATTGATAATTTACAGAAACAAAAGTGATCTTTGATTGTTAAATTTGTATCCTACAAATTTATTCTAATATTTATTTATTCTAATATTTCCTTGTTAGATCATTAGGATTTTCTATACAAAAGATAATACCATTTACAAACAGATAATTTTACTCGTTTTCTGATTTAAATGTCTTTTATTATTGCTATTGTTCTGGCTAGAACTTCCAGTGCTACATTAAATAGGATTTGCATAGGTTGTCCATGTCCTTTCTAATAGATCTGTACGATCTCTTTTACTTCTGTGGTATTGGTTGTAATGTCTTCAGTTTCATTACAGATTGTATTTAGTCTTATCATTTTTCCCCTACTATGTGTAATTAATGCTTTGTTGATTTTGTATTTCCCCAAACCAACTACTGGTTTTGGTGACCTATTGTCTTTTTATTCTCTTTTATTTATTTCAGTTTTAACCTTCATTAATTTTTTTTCCCTTTGTCAAATATGGGCTTAGTTTTTTTCTTATTAGTTTACTTGTGTGAGATATAAACTCATTTTATTCCTTTGAGATCTTCCTTCTTTTTTAGCATACGTGTGTATTGCTATAAACTGGCCTCTTGAGACTTTTCTGCTGCATCACATACGTTTAGCATGCTTTTGTTTTCTGTTGTCTTAAGATWTTTTATAATTTCCACTTGATTTATACCTTGATTAAGTGGTTATTCAAAAGTAGGTTTTAAAATTTCCATTTATTCATAATTTTTTTTCAAATTTCATACTCAAGGTTTTGATAATAGTGTAAATACTATGGTAATTATGTACTAAACTAATAATAAAATAATAAAGAATAATGGCATAAGTTTTTGGAAGTGATGGATACTAATATGATATAGACTATGATGATGTTTTCACAAGTATATGCCTACAAGTCTGTCAACCAAATATCCATAGAGTTGTTAAAATTATTAGAATAATAAATCAAAAACTGTACCATATTTAAAAATCAACTGAATATCAAAAAATCTACATATAAAATGAAATACATAATAATGTGTCTTTATTAAATTTTTGTGAAAAATTGACAAGAATTCTGGAAAAATATATAGTCAGTAACTTGGGATTCCATGTATTTTAAGGGAGAAAGAAAAACATTGGGGAGAATATTAAAGGAATTTGAAGTTTGGCATCATTAACATGCTGGCACAGATCAGCAAGATTGTCACAACAACCTGAAAGGTAAGATCTTCACATGGTATTGGGAAGCAGCACCTCCACTGCTCACACTTCATGGTCACCCCTGGAGAGTAACAGATCTTGTTAAAGAGGCAAAGTAAAATTAGAAACCTAAACATTTTCATTTATAAATGTCCGMATATGAAAGATTTGCATATGAACAAGCATGATGTCTGATGGGACAAACTTTTACCCTAAGTATTGAGTATGTAGATCATTCTTTCTAAAGAATAGCCATATGAAATGACTAGCTGTCAAAATCAAAAGATGAAGCTGAGAACTCCGAATGCCTCCAACTTTCAAAATAGTACTATAAAAAAGATTTGAAAACACTTGAACACAGTATTTGAATTTCTAAAATTCATAATATTTAAGAGCCCTTGAACATGTAAAGTTATAACAGGTATACCAGCAAATAGCAAAATCTTAAAAAGTAAAGTATGTACTTACCATAAGAAAACTTGTAAATTAAAAAAAAAAAAGGCAGAAAATTTAACAGGAGATAAAAAGAGTGGAAGCTATTGAGAAATTATCCTGGAGTTTGGAAAAGAGGCAAACAAAGACAAACATTATACCAAAGAAAGTAAGAGTTGGGCAGAAAAGATTCTAGATGTCCAACATGAGAAAATTGTAATTTCACAAATAACATGACAGGCAAAAAATAGAGGAGGGAAAATGCAAATTTTTATTAGAGGGAGGAGGTAAAAAAWTTTTTTTCTCCAAATATATTTTAATTTTACAATAGTCTTTAACAATTAAATAACCYTTAATAATTAATAATAWTTTTTTCATAAAATATTTGGTGAGAAAAAA